TACTGAATGGGAGAAACCTGAAAATCTTCCCTCTAAGAATGGAATACAGCAAGGATGCCCACCGTCACCACTGTTATTCAGTGTAGTACTGGAAGTCCTAGCTAGAGCAATAAAACAAGAGAAAGATATAAGGGGCATCCAAACTGGAAAGGAAAAAGTCAAATTATCCTTGTTTGCTGATGATATGATTTTATATTTGGAAAACACTAAAGATTCCACAAGGAAACTATTAGAACTGATAAACAAATCCAGTAAAGTTATAGAATACAAAAACAGCATGCAAAAATCATTAGCATTTCTAGAAAAAGAAATAAAAAGGTAATCCTATTTACAATAGCCCATAAAATTAAATACCTACAAATTAATCGAACCAAAGAACTGAAAGTTCTCTATAATGAAAACTATAAAACACTGATGAAGGAAATTGAAGATAGAAAAAATTGGAAAGATATTTCCTATTCATGGATTGGAAGAATTGGTATTGTTAAAATGTTCATACCACCCAGAGCAATTTACATATTCAATGCAATCCCTATCAAAATGCCAATGACATTCTTCACAGAAATAGAAAAAACAATCCTATAATTTACATGGAACCACAGGAGACCGAGAATAGCCAAAGCTATCCTGAGCAAAAAGAACAAAAGTGAAGGAATCACATTACCTGACTTCAAATTATACTATAGAGCTATAGTAACCAAAACAGCATGGTACTAGCATTAAGAACAGACACATAGGCCAGGCGTCAGTGGCTTATGCCTGTAATCCCAGCACTTTGGGAGGCTGAGGTGGGCGGATCATGAGGTCAAGAGATCGAGACCATCTAGCCAACATTGTGAAACCCCATCTCTATTAAAAATACAAAAATTAGCCGGGTGTGGTGGCATGCACCTGTAGTCCCAGCTACTCAGGAGGCTAATGTAGGAGAATCACTTGAACCCAGGAAGCAGAGGTTGCAGTCAGCTGAGATCACACCACTGCACTCCAGGCTGGGTGACAGTGAGAGGGTCCGTCTCAAAACAAACAAACAAACAACAACAATAAACAAAAAAACCAACCAAACACATATACCAATGGAACAGAGCAGATACCCCATAAACAAATGCACACACCTACAGTGAACTCATTTTTGACAAAGGTGCCAAGAACATACACTGAGGAAAAGATGGTCTCTTCAATAAATGGTGCTGGGAAAACTGGATATCCTTATGCAAAAGAATGAAACTAGACCTCTTGCCATATTCAAAAATCAAATAAAAAAAGAGTTAAAGACTTAAATCTAAGACCTCAAACTATGAAACTACTACAAGAAAACATTGAGGAAAATATCCAAGACATTAGTCTGGGGAAAGATTTCTTGAGCAATACCCAACAAGAACAGGCAACCAAAACAAAAATAGACAAATGGGATCACATCAAGTTCAAAAGCTTCTGCATAGCAAAGAATGCAATCAACAAAATGAAGAGACAACCCACAGAGTGGGAGAATATATTTGTAAACTACCCATCTGACAAGGAATTAATAGCCAGAATATATAAGAAGCTCAAACAACTCTACAGGAAAGAAATCCAATAATCTGATTTTTAAAATTGGGAAAATATTTGAATAGACATTTCTCAAAAGAAGATATACAAATGGAAAACAGACATATGAAAAGGTGCTCAACTTTATTGATCATCAGAGAAATGCAAATCAAAACTACAATAAGATATCACCCCCCCCCCCTTAAAGTGGCTTATATCAGAAAGACAGGCAATAACAAACGCTGGTGAGGGTGTGAAGAAAAGGGAACCCTTGTATGCTGTCGGTAAGAATATAAATTAGTAGGACCATTATGCAGAACAGTTTGGAGGTTCCTCAAAAAACTAAAAATAGAGCTAGTATATGATCCAGCAATCCCACTGCTGGGTACATACTCAAAAGAAAGGAAATCAGTATATCAAAGAGATAGCTGCACTCATATGTTTGTTGTGGCACTATTTACTATAGTTAAGATTTGGAAGCAACCTAAGTGTCCATCAACAGATGAATGGATAAAGAAAATGTGGTAGGTATACACAATGGAGTATATTCAGTAATAAAAAAGGATGAGATCCAATCATTTGTAACAATGTGGATGGAACTGGAGATGATTATGTGAAGTGAAATAAGCCAGGCACAGAAAGACAAATGTCGCATGTTCTCACTCATTTGTGGGATCTAAAAATCAAAAAAGTTGAACTCATGGGCATAGGAGAGTAGAAGGACGGTTACCACAGCCTGGGAAGGGTCGCGAGGGTGTGTGCGAGGGAAGTGGGGATGGTTAATAGGTACAAAAAATAGTGAGAAAAAATGAATAAGGCCTACTATTGATAGCACAATAGTGCGACTATAGTCAGTGATAACTTCATTGTATATTTTTAAATAACTTAAAGAATGGAATTGGATTGTTTGTAACACAAAGGATAAATGCTTGAGGGGATGGACACACCATCCATGATGTACTTATTTCACATTGCATGCCTGTATCAAATCATCTCATGTACCCCATAAGTATACACATCTACTATATACCCACACAAATATAGAACAATAAAAAATTATAAATAAAATAAAATGAGATATGACACTACTATGTTTCCATATGTATTAGGGTTAGTTTTACAACTTTTTCACTGATTAGATTTTCTATATGTGAGTGTAACTACTACAATATTGTGCTTATTCAGGCTTTACACTATGTTTTAATCATCCTCATTACCTTTCTTTTTCAGAAGATGTGGTTGGGGTTCATTTTTCTTATTTCTTCCTACTCCCTGTTTTGTATATAGAAACACTGTTCGTTGCTTATACAGTAATATAGCAGGCAACCACCTGCCTGAACTGTATTTTTTTTTCTTTTTTTTTGAGACAGAGTCTTTGCTCTGTCACCCAGGCTGAAGTGCAGTGGCGCGATCTCGGCTCACTGCAAGCTCCGCATCCCGGGTTCACGCCATTCTCCTGCCTCAGCCTCCTGAGTAGCTGGGACTACAGGTGCCCGCTACCACGCCCGGCGAATTTTTCGTGTTTTTAGTAGAGACGGGGTTTCACCATGTTAGCCAGGATGGTCTCGATCTCCTGACCTTGTGATCCTCCCGTCTCGGCCTCCCAAAGTGCTGGGATTACAGGCGTGAGCCACCGCGCCCCGGCCAGAACTGTATTCTTGTCTGTGGTGTTTCAGAGAGTTCTCATCTGCAGTGGCCAGGAATCCCATCATACCACCTGCCATTCTCTAGGACCCCTGCTCCCCTTAGTCTTCAGGCCACTCTGCAAACTTTGACAATATTGGCAATGACTCCTCATTGCTCAGCCAAAGGTCAATTTTGCAACCACATAGCTGCTACTGAAACTATTTACTCACCAGTCACTCCATGGCTTGGAATTCTGGAAAATCATAATCTTCTTGTTCTTCTCTTTCTTCCACAGTTTCTCCTTTTCATGTGTTGCCCACAATTTTAATATGCAACCTTTATCACAAAGTAATTTCCCATATACACTCCTGTATAAGACCTCTGCTCCATTGGTCAGTTTCTCTATGGATGGTTTGCTGGATCCAACTTCTCCAGAGCTTAAATGGATGGAGACTCTTCAGACCTTTTTTCTTTTCATTTACTTTCTGAGGACTCACCTTCAACCCTTTAATGATATGCTCCAGAAGGTCATGGTCTAGTTTTATTCACACTGAAACTCAAATGTCTGAAATTAAGCCTGGGGCATGATACATCTGTATTAGTTTTCAAGGACTACCATGACAAAGTACAACAGACCAGGTGGCTTAAACAACACAAGGTCATTTTCTCATAACTTTGGAGGCTAAAAGCCTGAGATCGAGGCATGGACAGGGTTGAATGGTGTCTTCTCATGCCTGTGTCTTCACATGGTCTTCCCTCTGTGTGTCTAAGTCGTAACCTTCTCCTATTATAAAACCACCAGTCCTGTTGGATTAAGGCCCAGGCTAAGAGCCTCTTTTAAACTTAATAACCTTTTCAAAGTCCCTGTCTCCAAATCCTGTACAGTAAGACTATGACTTACTGGGGATTGGGACAACAACATATTGATTATTGTAGGGGGAAAAAAATTCAGCCCATACAATGTCCTTATTAAATATTTGCTGAAAGATTCAATTGAAGGATTTTTCTCAATTGTTGATAAGCAGTCTAATTCAAAAGGTATTTTTTAAAAAGATAAGCAGCATAATTTGGTTGTAGCATGAGGCACATGAATGGAAGCATAGGATAAAACATAACATTTTGAGTATCTACCCGAAAGAAAAATTTTAGAATAACAAATTTCACGAAGTGGCAGAAAAAAGAATATATTATATATGTTGAACTTTTTATACTTTAAAAGATAAATCAATTGATCCACTGGTTCGTACTGATGAAGTAAAATTAAACACACATTTACTATTCAGAATTGATAATAACAAAAGAAGTAAGAATGAAAAGTGCAGAAAGTGGTAGCCTCTGGACAATGGGATTCTATATTTTCCTCTTTGTATACACTTCTCTATGATTTGGAAAGTATACTCGTAAATATATTACCACTATGATAAAGAAAACACCCAAAAAATGGTGTCAGGCCATTGTCAGCTTTGAATGAACCTATGACCTACTTTTTTCTTTTCTTTTCTTTTCTTTTTTTTTTTTTTTTTTGAGATGGAATCTTGTGCTGTCACCCAGACTGGGGTTCAATGGTGTGATCTCAGCTCACTGCAACCTCTGCCTCCCAGGTTCAAGCAATTCTCCTGCCTCAACCTCCTGAGTAGCTGGGATTACAGGCACGTGCCACCACACCGACTAATTTTTGTATTTTCAGTAGAGACAGAGTTTCACCATGTTGATCAGGCTGGTCTTGAACTCCTGACCTCGTGATCTGCCCACCTCGGCCTCCCAAAGTGCTGGGATTACAGGCGTGAGCCACCGCACCCGGCCTACTTTTTTCTTTAGTTACAAAGCCTCACAACAAAAGCTCACATTGCTTAATGTTGATACCAGTGCCCATAACTGATTTTAAATGTTCAAGACAGCAATTACATTCAGGAGATGGGATGTGATGGGAGAGGCCGATATGTATTGGACATGGGACACAGGTCAAGAATCATCTTGGTTAGGGTTTGTGTCTCAAACACCTCTGGCCTCTGTTGGTCTGTAGTTCTTATACAGGAAATTACAAAGCTGTCCAGCATCTTCATAAACCTGGATTGACAACCAGCTTTCATTCCTGCTCCTGTAGGCATCTCCTGAATTAAGCAACACAGAAGGGTCCTCAGAAGTCACTGAATCCCAGAATGGCTCTCCACCTTTAGCACAAAGGAGGTCTTTACCGCTTCCACTGGACAAAAGAAAAAGGAAAGATAAGGGTAAATACCAAGAACTGTCTTCTTTCATAGTCAGTTATCATTTTTGCTATAAGGTCACGTCCCTGTGTTTCCACCTTGGGGTCCTACATGTAGGAGGTCATGAGCTTGTCTCAGGAAAAGGCAAGAGACATGAAACTTCCCTCTGGAAATACTGTGCTGGCAGACCAGAGTGTGGCAACTCCAAATGGGTTTGGGCAGAACTTCCTTCTGATTTATCTCCCAATATTACACCCATTATTCCAACCATTCAATCTGCCCTCGTGGAGAGAATGCTGCCTCTTACATTCATTTAAGGAGCAAGGGGACATGCAGGCATTGCTTCTCAGAGTTGAACTGCTGTAGGAGCAGGTTTTGTTTTACTTGCTTTTCAAAGTTATTCTTCTTTGCCTATCTGGAAAGGCCCAAGGAGGAAACAGATAGTCCAAATTGAAATAATTGAGGAGTGTTTCATGAGACAAGTATTTACAAAGATGTGCTGGGTTAAGGGATAGAGACAATGCATGGGGCAGCACCCTAAGTAGCAATGGTGGAGCACTACGTCTTCCCCTAGCCTGAAAGGGACAGGGAAGGAGCAGTTACCAACGACAGCATAACCATAGCTGTAGCTATAGGGATGAAAGAGGCTGACTAGGCAGGTGGAAAAGCCCTGCAAGGCCAACACACAGCCAAATAGGCTGTTTGGATCTGTGTCTCCACCCAAATTCCCAATGTGGGAGGTAGGGCCTGGTGGGAGGTGATTAGATAACGGGGACAGTTTCTCATGAATGGTTTAACAACATCCCCCTTTGGTATTGTTGTCATGATGGTGAGTGAGTTCTCATGAAATCTAGTTGTTTAAAAGTGTGTAACACCTCCTCCCTCTCTCTCTTGCTCCTGCTCTCACCATGTGAGATGCCTCGCTCCCCCTTTGCCTCTGACACGATTGGAAGCTTCCTAAGGCCTCCCCAGAAGCAGAAGCCACTATGCTTCCTGTACAGCCTGTAGAGCCATGAGCCAATTGAACCTGTTTTCTTCATCAATTAACCACTCTCAGGTATTTCTTTATAGCAATGTGAGAACAAACTACTACACAGTGAAGAGCCAGGAGGTAGGAATCCCAAATCGCTTCCCTACTGCCTGCCAGTCTCCCGCCGGTATCTCAATTCAGGCAGAAACCAGAATAAAAAGAACCCCACTGATGAGGTACATAGAAACCACTCTCTTAGGATGTCAGACAGGATAGAGAAGAATGGAAAGCAAATCCTCATGGCAAATGAGACGCTCCCTCTCACCTTCTTATAGCCTCCTAATTCCTGGTGCTTTCTCTATCTAAACGTCATTGATTCTTATCTCATTTCAGCTTTACCAGACTGTTATATGTTTCATGCATCTTTCTCTACTGTCACTTTTATGCAGAAACATTTGCATTTATCAAAAGTGCATAAAAAATAAAATGTAATTTTAAAAAGAGAAAACATGCCTTTTGTTTAGAATCTATGTTTGGCTGCTCTAATAGAGACACAAACTAGAAATATCTTAAAGAAGGAAGTACTGTTGTCCCTCTGTGTCACTAGGTTCTGAACCTGCAGGCTCAACAAACCACATGTCGAAAATATCCCAAAAATAGAGATATGGTGGATTTGTGTATGTACTAAACAGGTACAAACTTTTTTTCTCATCATTATTTTCTAAAAAATACAGTATAACAAGAATTCACATAATGTTTACATTTTATTAGACATTATAAATAAACTAGAAATGACTTAATGCATAAGGGAGAAAGTACACACGAAATATATAAATACTACATTATTTTATATGAGGAAATTGGGAATCTGCAGATTTTGGTGTGTGCAGGGGTTCCGGTAACAATCCCCTGTGAATACCCAGGGATGACTATATTTAAGATCTGAGCTGGAATCTCCAAGGCATCAGATAATTAGGACTCCAAAAATTGTTGCTCCCAGGTCCCTAGAGTGACATCCTCATCCATGTGGTCCTACAGGGCTCCCAGGCACCTCAGCATCCCAGCCTGATGGAGAAGGAAGAGGGGAAGGAGACGCTATACTCCTTCTATTGATCCCATGAGCCAGGACTTCCTTACATCACATCTGCTCACCTCCTATTGACCAGGACCTGGTCATACGATGTCATCCAGCATCAAGGTAAATTGAGATGCAGATCCTTGTGCTACTTTTTTTCTTTTTAATTATACTTTAAGTTCTAGGGTACATGTGCACAATGTGCAGGTTTGTTACATATGTATACTTGTGCCATGTTGATGTGGTGCACCCACCAACTCATCAGCACCCATCAACTCATCATTTACATCAGGTATAACTCCCAGTGCCATCCCTCCCCCTTCCCCCCTCCCCATAATAGGCCCCGGTGTGTGATGTTCCCCTTCCAGAGTCCTACTTTTAAACCCTCAGAATTGTTATGTGACTGAAGAGGAAAATGGATATTGTAGCCACTTAGTAGTTTCTTCAGCCCCTGATTGTCTCTGATTCTGTGCTCACATCAAGATTTTTCCAGAGCTCCTCAGAAATAATGATTGTGGGGTAGAGAGCAATAGGCAAGTCTCATGCAGGGCTTCAAGGACCAGGGGGTGCTATTGGGTTTGCTCTTCATGGTGTGATCTTAGGAAGACTCTTTAATTCTTCAAGCTTCAACTGCTTCTTATGTTATATGAGGATATTATAATAGATAGTCTTTAAGGAATATATGCTAAAACTGGTGATATTGCAGTGAACAAAAACAGGCATGGCTTAGTCCTTATGGAGCTTCAGGTTTCATGAGAAAGACAAATATATCATACCCTAAATGTAGATGGATAAACAGTTTAGAGCCCTGAGTGTGGATAACAGAGATTCTCCTTTTCCTCCCATTTCCTTTTCTGGCCAAGTAAGGCTGTGGCAGATTTTCTCTCTAAGAGAGCTCATGATGGACGCACTCACTCCAGATGCTCTTCTGTACTCCTAGAGTAGGGTATGTCTTCTTTCCACCTGGAGGCCTCCTGCCCCTATGCATCCTCAGGATTCCAGAGCAAAAGTGGCCTTTGATAGGCAAAAAGGAACTCCTGAATTTATTCCTAAATAGCATTCACTCACCTCTGTTTTGTTCCCCATTTCATTCGCTTCTCATCCTCTATCTGGAGTTTAAGGGACAAATACTTTCCTCTCTTAGTGCTCTAATTCATTATCTCCCATACAGGAATAATACTAATTCTTACCTCCTAGGCTCTTCAGATAATTAAAAGAGACAATACCCTAAAAACTCTCAATCAGCTGCTATTATTCTCCCAGAGGAGACCCAGTCCTCATTCTCCTGTCAAAATCTGCATGAATATCTCTCTTTATACTCCAAGCCCTACACATCTCCTGTTTCCCCTTATGGACATACAGATGTTTGCATCAACAAAGAAACGCTACCAAAGATCTCCTGAAAGAGAGAATGAAATAGGTTTACATTGTGTATACCCAGCAACACTTAGTAGTGCCTCATAGATATTCTCACACTTCAATTACCTGCTTCAGTGGCACTCAGACCTCACCCTCACTTACTCTTTCCTCTGCTCTATTGCTGAGCAATTCAGCTGAGACCCACATCTGACCCAAAACATTGTGTACAAAAATGCTTCTAGGTGTTCAGCAAAGCCACACTGGGTCCTCATTTCAAAGTCACATCAGTGGTCAATTTCAGGTTTTGGGCACTCATCAATAATTCTTCTCTCAACACAGATAGAGCTGTCCATTCTGATGAATGAAATTTTCTTCATCTAATTATATGTGTGTGTTTTAATGTTTTATATTGTGCTTTCATTTTTATTTTCCACTTCATCTAAATCTACCATTACCATTAGGCTCCTCATGCATGCATCCCTCCATCGAATGAATATTTATGAAGAGCATAGTGTGCGGCTCATGGAAATAGGCACTGGGGGTATAAAATGTAAAATGTGGTCCTGTCTGCAATGACTGACACACTGAGTTATTTCTCACTCACCAGGCCCAGCCATTTTCACACTTACCATAGCGAAGGCCACATTTTCCTCTGATTCATAATGCATGGTCTTCTTTCCTGTCCCTGGATGAGCAGTACTGGTCATGAGGGTGTCACAACCACCTCTTTGTGTATCTGAATTCCTCCACCTGAGAGAAAATGTCAGGCCCAGGATACAGTAATGATCGGGTCCACAGCCCTGGCCGGATGAGTTGGGGGTGTTTTGATCCTAATGTTATTCCCATGTCAGCACAGAACTTGTGTGGCAGTAGAGAGAGGTCAGGCTTCAGAGTCAGCAAGAACTGGATTTCAAACTGGATTTGAGGACCCCCACCTTTTGATAAGTGACTTATTCTCTGCGAGTCTCTGATCTCTCCTCTTTAAATGAGGACAGTAAAAATACCACATGGCAGGGTGGTGGGGAGAATCAGAGATCATACAGCTGGTGATCACATCTGGTTTCTGTTTCCAGGGGCACCAGACTAGGGTTTCTGAGCATGGATCCAACCATCCCAGCCTTGGACACAGAACTGACACCAATCAATGGAACCGAGGAGACTCCTTGCTATAAGTAGACCTTGAGCCTCACAGTGTTGACATGCATCATTTCCCTCGTGGGGCTGACAGGAAACATGGTTGTACTCTGGCTCCTGGGCTTCCACATGCGCAGGAACGCCTTCTCCATCTACATCCTCAACCTGGCCACCACCAACTTCCTCCTCCTCAGCGGCCACGTTATACTTTCCCAGTTACACCTCATCAATATCCTCGATCCCATCTCCAAAATCGTCAGTCCTGTGATGACCTTTTCCTACTCTGCAGGCCTAAGCATGCTGAGCGTCATCAGCACGGAGCGCTGCCTGTCCGTCCTGTGGACCATCTGGTACCGCTGCCGCCACCCCACACACCTGTCAGAAGTTGTGTGTGTCCTGCTCTGGGCCCTGTCCCTGCTGCGGAGCATCCTGGAGTGGAGGTTCTATGACTTCCTGCT